GACAAAAATGTTTCAATGGTTTTTCACTAAAAGCAACCGTTTCTGAAATATGTATAACGATGCAAAAAGGTATAAAGCATTAATTTGTGTGCATCAAATTTTTTGTACCGATTGACTCACAGATCAACACAAAGCCTAACAGTTTATCGTAGGGAACTAAAACTGGAATGGTATATTCTGCGTAGGACGAAAGAGTAACCGAGTTTTCCGAAATTCTTCCCAAGAAGTGAAAATAGAGGATATAATTTGCATGGGACATCGTAATGTCCCCACGATGCGCGATGAACACCGAAAATACTTTCTGATAGAATACGAAAAATTATTTGATTCATCTTAAAAAATTATACCTTTCTGCGAAAAGTGGATCAAGAGAGTTAATCGCGCACATTCCTCGTTACATTACGTGTTTCGATGCACTACCCATTTTCAGCCTGCCATATAGAGTGTAACTCAGAAACGGTGGCTCTGAGTATGTAATGATATACAACATTTGTCTAAATAATTGTATTTTTTACCATACACGTATATACATATGCCAATGGATTTTCCTGATTTTATTTAAGACAGGTTTTAAAAATTTTTTATCACGGAATGGATTTGATTTTTACGTTTATTTTTTTAAATAACCTGCTATTTTGGTAGGTGCCATTTTTGAAGCTATAGTTTTTTTTAACATTTGACAAGTGAAAACTTCGGGGGTAATATAAATGGAGCGACACATACTTTAACAACGCGTTAATATTCTAAAAATTCGGTAAAAAAATGGTGAAAATCTGACAGAGACAATTCGTAAAATTAAATCATTTTTCGGTCGTCGCGAAGCACCTTGTCGGATTGCAATAAAGAAATTTGGTTGTAAAAATTGAACCAGTGGGACAAAATAAAAATAAAACACGTACACGTTGCGGAAGAACCGTAATTTGCATGAAGACGTTTGTCTTAAGCCTTATACACTTAAGTTAATACAAGAACTCAAGAACGATGATCATCACCAACATCGTGTCTTTGCTTAAATGCATAATAGTGATTCGGAATTTAATCGAAGAATCATCTTGACTGATGAGGCCCGCTATTACCTCATAGCCATCGAGTTAATAAGTAAAATTGTAGCATCTGGGGTTCGGAAAACAGAAGATTTATTGTTAAAAAGTCTCTCCATCCTCGACGTGTAACTGTTTGGCGCTACGTGCAACACAAGCACCGAAACTATCGATATTTTAATGGAAAAGTTTCTTTAAATATAATATCATACAAAATTATTTGTCTGCGGAATAGTGGTTTATTGATAATCTCGGTAAATTGTATATCAATATGTACATATGTATGTATGTTAGTACATATTCTCGGATGCTCCGACAGCACTAAGAATTTGTAACAATAACTTGAAAGGCAAACAGTTCTATCTAAGCCTAGTATGGGTACCAGGCACAGTAACCACCGGACGACCACTTCCCCTCCACTCTTGACATCTTGACAGAGTCTAAGCAAGCCGCTCTTCGTTTAACAAAAAATCAGTCATTTGGTGACTTTTAATTTGTTTTGTTAAATCTAGTCCTTTACAATTGCCACCACCAATGCTAACAGAAATTCACCATGTGATTCTCTTCGGATTTCGGCGTAATTTACAGTCAAAGCAAATATTCAGTGAATGCCAAATTGCATAAGAAACGATTGCACCGGTTTTAAAAACTATTTTTAAGTGGCTCCGACGATTTCAGATGAGACATTTTTTCGTAGGGGACGAGCCCGAAAAGGTTGACCAAAGTTTTCCACTGGTGACTGGTTTGTAACTCTGGTGAAGTTCACATTCAGTGGATGGGAACACAATGATATCGCAATGCACTGCTTTGATGTGCTAAGTAGGTATGTATTCGAAATCTTTATAAAAACTCCCTTGGGCCGGGCTCCTTCAAACAACGTGTTTTTTTCAAACAAATTATATTTATTAAAAAAAAAGGAATTTAAAAATTAAAGTTTTTGTAGATAAAGAAACGTATAAAAATATTAATTGAAGTTTCTTTGTTTTTAATGTTGGCTTTTAAAATTGTTGCTGAAACACATCCCTTTTGTTGGTGAGTAATAGGATAACTGTAAAACGAATCATCTGAAATCAAAAACAAAAGGGTTTCTTATTCTGCATCATATTTGCTATGGCCGGAACTACAACAAAATATCTTCGCCAAAAATCCTTTTTTTATTTAATTTGTTTTTTAACTTTTATAACTGTTTTAAATAATAATGAATATTTATGTTTGTAGCACCGACCAGAGACTGACATTTTAGGAGTAAATTTCCTTTCCGTTCATGTTCAGAAGTTCAATAGGTTATAAATAAGAGTGTCACCCAGTTGAAAAATTGATTTCGAGAAAAAGGCAATTAAAGTGCTCAAGGGGTCGGATTTACCGCTAGGCGCGCTCTGCTGTCCCCACTTCTATACTTACTTCGTGTTCTAGTTCAATATATGTATATAATAAGAGTATTTCCTAGCAATTTGCTGGAAAAATTTCGATTTTTTGAAAATTGTTTGGAGGAACCTGACCTTAAGAAGTATAAAATTATGACTACCAAACATAAAACAATAGAAATGGCCTGTAACTTTCTGCTGGCCTAAATAATAAAAATTAAAAAGAATTCTTTACTGCATGCACATTTATTAACAACACTGCGCATTTTTTCATAGAAGCATACATACGCCTGCTCATCCAGTGGCACACCTTATTGTTCTACTTTTTGCTCAAAAAGCATCCTAATCCCTTAAGTAGTGGGTGCATCCTATAGCAGCATATGGTTGAACAGGTTTCTATGAGTCTCACAAAAAGGCTACGAGTGCATTCGAATTCACACAGACACACATACATATACATATATTACAAACATATTGTATAAGTACAAGAGGGGATCCAGGCGTTAAGTATGCTAAGCGCATTTCAAATATATTCTTGTTTGGTCTTCCTAATTGTTTCTTCTTCTTGCATTTAAATGTCATATGCCCTGCACAAAGTGTTAAAAATGCTTAAAATGTGTGACACTTTTTTTACGCAGACACATTTTATTTCGTATTCTTCTTTCATTTGGTTCATAGTATTTTTTTTTTAATTCTCGTAAACCGATTAGAAAAACAAGTACCACTCTGGTCCAGGACTATACGTAGCAAATCAAAAGTGGTTTGAAAGATTTGTGGCATAAAATTCTTTGAAATTTTTACACATGTTCTTTATAGTGGAAATGTGCGTGTGTGCGCATATGCAAAATACGTGAAGCCTGTTTCAACAGAATTTCTTTACACTTTGTAAAAATTTTTTCCATAAGCAATTGGAGATTAATACATATATGCATACCTATGTATATACTTACATACGCATAGTAGTTATTTATATATACATGAGTACTTGTAGTTACATATGTATATTGCCCTAAGTACTTTTCAGTTTTAAGTATCCGAACTGTAAAAGTATGCGAGAATAATTTGTCGTTGCACAGAAAAAAATAAAATTTATTGCTTTTTGTCGCCTGCGTTAAACTGTTTTTTTTCTTTGAATGCTGCAAGTGTGTATTTAAATTTGTAGTGCTTAGAATTACATGCTAATACTCGGAAGACCAGGTTCTGAGTTCTGCCCCGATCAACATACAAAAATTAAAGAAAACCCAATAAAAAAAAATATATTAATTTTTCAAATCACCCCTTGGCAGGGAATGTCAAGCCCTTCGAGGGTATTTCTGGCAAAAAATAAAGGCTCCTCATAAAAATCCATCTGCCTTTCGGAGGCATTTAGCAGTTACAAAGCGCCAAATATAATATACACATATATACATACAGTGTTGCCCAAAACTAAAGCACCCTCCAAGTGCAATTTTTGCTAGTGCCGTTTTCTTTAAATAAATTGATTGGAAGTTAATTTTTTTTTGCATTTTATTTATGTTTATACATATATAAGTATATGTATGTATGTATTCATTTTTAATAAAGCAATATACTTTTTGTTAATTTGTTTTAATTTGAAAAGTTTAACGTAAAATAGTTTACAGTAGTCCAAAATTCAGTGGACAAAACTAAAGCACTCCTTTCATTGGTGTAAAGAAAACCGTCTCGAGGCTGATATTTCGTAGCAAACCCATTACTTTGGATGACTGAACCGCATTTTTTAGGCTTTGAAGAAATCTAATTAGTAACATCCTGAGATGTGCTCTCCCTTGCTTATTTTAAAAGTTTAAACAATCCGTTCTTGGTTCTACAGTGTTCTCTATTAATTTGCATATTTACGATCTTCCATATGTTCGCAATAGCGTAGAGATCAGGTAATTGAGCAGGCCAACTTACGTCTCAACTAAGTTTTTGAATGCTTCGAGGTTTGCTTAGGATCGTTTTCCTGCTGTAAACTCTATTTCAAATGCATCTCCTTTTCAGCATATGCCAGTATCACAGTTTCTAAAAAGTCGGTATGCATGAAACGATCAATTATTCCTATTATTTGATGAATTGGTTCGATAACTTGCCCAGAGAAACAAGTCAGCCTACATGATGTAGTAGGTTATCTGATTGATTTAAATTTTCACAGAAATATAATAAAAATATATCAGCTAGTGGTTCTAAGAAACTAATTTTTATAAAACTACAATGGAGAAGCAATATAGCTTTTCGTCTCATGATCCCGCCTTAATTTAATAAGGGTTAAACCTTTTCTTAACAGATCGCCAAGCATAAAATAAAATCCATGTTAACTTTGATAGGCCAAAAAATCTTAACCAGAACACATCAATAACATCAAAATACGTTTCCTATTTTTACTATTCCGTATTATTATTATTTTAACCGAAAATAAATAAATTTTTTCAGACTGTAAACTAATTCATTTTTTTAAACACTAATGGATATTTAAAGTATTTTACTATCGCTACTCATATATGTGTATGAGAGGAGGAGCAAGAGCAAAAAATTAAACAAAAATATACATTTGTACATGCATACATACATATTTTGTATGTAGATAATTGCTTCTTACCGATTTCGATCATTTGTATCCGGTTGCTCTGTTTTGGGACGTTTAACCTGTAATATGAAAGGAAAATTTATATTCTTATACTACTATTAGATATTATTGGCATTATTTTTAGAATTACATATGTACTTTCTAATTGTATAATAATAAAACGGCTTATGAATTCTCATAAGGAGCATTTTTTGCAAGTCAGGTATACTCCCAGAGGTGTTGACATCCCGCGCGGAAGATGTCCTTAACCTTTTTTTTGAACTAATTTTGGATTTTTTCGGGCCAGGATTTCAGCCCATCCTCTTCCTAATAGTGGTTCGTAGGGGTAACTAATCAACATTTTTCAATTTATAAATATGATTTCAAGCTATTTTATATTATTATATATTATTTAATTATCTTTCATTTTATTATTTTATCTAATTTTTTTATCTAATTTTTTATTTTTCTTTATATCTTATTTTATTTGAATTTTTTCCTATTCTGTTTCATATTTCTTTATTTTATTTATTTTTTATATCATTTTGCATAAACTTATTTTATTGTATTTTTTGGTTTAATTTTATTTCTTTTTAATTTTACTCCATTCAATTTCATTTTGTTTTGTTTTAATTTATTGTATTTTTTTCTTATTTTTTTAAATTTATTTCATTTTATTTTTTCAAATATTTTTATTTTAGTTTATTTCATTTGTTTTATTTTATTTTATTTGTGTATTATGTTATTGTATTTTTTTGTACTTTTATCTCGTCTCATTTCATTGAATTTATTATATTATATTTTATCTTAAATTGTTTTACATTATTTTTGTCTTTATTTCTCCCTCTTATATTTCATTTCCATATGTTACTTTTGTTATTTACTTTATTTTATTTTGCTTTATTTTTCTTGCTGTAATTATTCATTACATTTTATTTTACATAACTTTTTAATTTTTTGTTATTTTATTTCGCTTCATTTCATTTTACTTTATTCTATTTAGTCTTAAATTATTTTAAACTATTTTTTTCTCTTTATTTTATTTAATTTTTTGTTTTATTTGACTTTTTCTTAACTTTTTTTAATTAACTTAATTTATATTATTTATTTTAGGTCTTTTGATTTAATTTCATATCATTTCGTTATGCTTTGTTTTATTTCATGTGATTTTTTTAATTTTTTTAGTTTTATATTATTTTATTGTAGTTTAGTTTACATTATATTGTTTTTCTTTCTTTCGTTTTACCTTATTGTATTTTATTTGTTTTATTTTATTGTTTTTTTACTTTACTTCAGCTTATTATTACTCTAGTTCTTAAATTAGTTTGTTGTACTTTATTTCGCTTCATTTTATTTTTATTTATTTTATTTATTTATTTTTATTAATTTAGTTAATTTTATAAATTTCTATTTATTTTTTATTCTTCTTTTTATATAATTTTATTTTATAATATTTTTCTTAATATTTTATTTTGCTTCTTTTCATTTGATAATATTTACGTTTTGATTACATCACCACTACTGACGACAGGCAGTACTCGTTCCCAACGCCTGTTTAGTTTGTATACAAAAACAAGTAAAAGGTGAATTAATTAAATGCTGGCGTAATCTTTTTACATTTAACTTTGAGGATATGTGAAATTCCTAAACAAGAGTCATAGAAGTCTACCGTCAGGAGCTACCGGTGTTCCATTTAATGCCTCTGTAAGTTTATTGCAGGCTCAGCGCATTTGGCCCCACAAATGACTGCTCTACAATTATTGTCGCACCACATCGGCTTATGTGCACTGAATTTATTTAATTGCTTATTTTTTTAACTGGTGGCGACTTTTGCTTACTGACTTTAGCGCCAAGTGAATTTGCTCAGTTTTAAAAATGAACGCTTATTTATTTATTTAGTGTTTTGTTTATTTCAATATTCAATTTACTTGAATTTTAAGTTTCTGTTTCCTTTACACATTTTCTTTGATGCGAGAATGCATTTATTTATTTTTGCAATACTGTCAATTATTTATTTATATTTATTTATTTTTTTATTATGCTTAAGCCTTTTCTTTTCGCTAATAACAAAGACGGCTTTACAACGCCTTCCTGGAAAGCTGAGGGCAATTGCATACTTTGTACAAACAAATTTTTGAATTTGTGTATACCTACTATTATATGTATGTATATATGTATCTGTAGGTACGATTTTTTGTATTTTGACTGGTAGCAGCCGCATGTATTAACTTTATAATATTTATAATTTTTTTTTGCAAATTTTGCATATGGTTCCTAAAAATTTTCACACTTTTTGTTTCTTTAAATAAATTTCGACTTCTTGTTATTATTATGTAAATTAATGAACAAGCAGTTTCTTTACTTTGTTTATTCTTTACGGTTTTTTTTTACTTTTATTTGAATTTTTGCCTTTTTTCTGATGTGATTATCGTGGGAATTTCATGTGTGAAAACAGACAAACAAAGTTTTTAACCATTTAAAAGTTAAAAGAAAAAATTATAATAAATAAAGAAAAGAAATTGCTTCCGAAATTTAAGATTTTATTACAAATTTCGTTATGAAATTTTGTTTGAATTAGGTTTCGTATAGTTGAATGGATTACAAGTAATGTGTTTTAGAATTTTCAAAGCGTTAATTAGGTTTTAGACGCGGTGGATTTTAGAATGTTGCAATTAGTTTTATTATTATATTATTCATGTCTCTTACTTTAAAAATATTAAAAATGAGCTAACTGCATTTAATTAAAATAAAAATATTTCTTCATATTAAAAAATCGATTTTCCATAAGTCAAACTCAAGTAGAAACTATTCAACGGATGCATAGCAGACCATTGAAAGTATAACAAAGGCAGTCACTAAAATTAAAATAAATGTATATAAATATATGAGTTTGTGTGGCTTTATGCAACCAGACGGTAATAAAATTTTCAAATTAAAGTTCACCAAAGCACAACGAAATTGTCGCCAAGTCAATATTGCTTTTGCTCTGGCGCAACAACGTTCGTTATTTAGTTTCCAATGTATTTGTTGTAAAGGTGGTTACATGAACGACGGGAGCCATTCGACAGCTACGACCACATTATTTCACTGGACCGACCACCCAATGGTTAATGTCATACTAAGGTAAAGTGAACATAGAGGATATAATATACATGTATTTAGAAAAAAAAAAATTATTGCTCAATTTGGTGTTAGAGGTTAATAGTAAAATTGTGGAGAAGTTTTATAGTTTTAATAGAAGTCTAAAAGGTTCAGGAAAAAAATGAGATATTATTGTTACTTTTTAACAAAAAATTTAAATTAACCTTGCATGACGATTGTTGAAAAAATAAAATAAAGTAAAAAACTCTTAAAGTGTGAAAAATATCTATGTTTAATTTTTTAGTAAAAATTTTACAGAACAGAAATCATAAAATGAATCGTTAATAAGCAACAACAAGCATGATTCTTAGTAAGAAAATTATAAATATTAATTTTACATGCATTTGAATAATATAAAATTAAAAGTCACATTTATTCCTGGCCACAAAAAATGTATATGTATGTCAGAAAAAATTGTAAAAGTGATGCAATTTAGTAATGCAAAATAAAACAAATATTTCTTATTATGTTTAAACATCAACAATTTTTTAAACTAAAAATGTAAGCCTAAAAATCAGCGTTTACTTTTTGATAGATGTTAAGAAGTTTTGAATTGTTAATTTGTCGAAACAATTAGTTTTCATTAAAATAGCAAATATTTATGTATAAACTCTTAATACAATTTTTTCGATCGCACATATTTTTTATAGAAAAATTGTATTTTTAAAGGCATTTCTTTTTGGTCGAAATACTAATATTTTGAAAAAAGTTAATTTGTTAAAAAATATATATTTAATTTAAGTTTATTTTAATAATTTCTTTAAAGACCAAAAAAAATCTAACATATTGATAATTTTCATCAAAAATCCAAAATATGCATAAGTTTCGAGAGGAAAATGGAGAGCTACGTCAATGTTGTTTGTTTTATTTATAACCATAATCCCCTTTTGAAGCTCTTTAAAGTGTGATTTTTGTTCTTTTCTATTACTTCATGCTCTAGCCGATAGTCTGCACTTATTTCTAACATTCAAATTATCGATCTAAAATTTCATCCTTTCCAGGCTGGAATTCTAAACGAGTGCTTATTCTTCATTTATGATGTCCAACTGAAAGTCAGTACATCTCACCTGTGTTCAATCTGTCAAATTTAACTTCAGTTCATTTCTTATAATAATTTTTTTCATTCTTGCTGCAGTTTTACACTTGCGACTGCCTCACATGTTTGTCACTTTTAACAGTCAACTAATTTATGGCGCAAGCGCGTATGAAAGGCACGTTAATTCCAACAACCAACGAAGCAGTGAAGCAAACAAACAACACGCATGGTTAAGAAGACTAAAGAACTCTCCAGCAGCCCTTAAAAAACCACCAGCCAGTTAGAGTCCGTCAGTCAAGCGAAGAAACAATAACAACAAATACCTGTTGGAGCTGTGACTCTTTTTTTTAGCTGAACATAGAAACACACATGTGTATGTATATAAGTATTTATTTTTTTTTAAAAAATTTTTGTCGCCTGCTAAACCCAATGTTGTTGCACCGAACTGAAATTCCTTACGTGTGATCGTAATCGTTTTTGTCTTTACGGCTTATGATTCTGTTTATTATTATTATTTTCAATTTCATTTGGCTTCATTGGAGCACGCGGTGCTAAATTTTCCTCTGTGTTTTCATACCGTACGTAATATCCACTAACTATGAGTTAAAGTTTTCAAGGAAAAATGCACAGTTGGCTTTAGAATTTCGATTTCAAGCGTACTTTTGCTTCTTATAAATAAAATCGTCTGAAAAATACCGAATAAATTAATTTATTGAATCTGCTTTTGTTTTGAGTAATGCGTGTAAAGGCTCCTTTAGAACCCGAAAAAATCGTTTTTCAGCAATTTGTTTGATATGTAAGGAGATTAAACGAAATTTTCACACAAAATTTACTATATTTGAGCTTAAAAAAAATTTTTGTGATGAGTTTTCTGAAGCGCGTGCAGTCTGAACTCGTGAAACG